GGCTGCCTCCTGCACCCCCCCAACCGGGGGGTACCCCTGACCAGAATCGAACCCGGACCCTTCAGTCCGAAGACGGACGCTCTATCCACTGAGCCAAACCAGCTAGGGCAAACTGTAGTCTTTTTTATCATTACCATCGCAGGATGAGCTTCCTTAGGGCAGGGACCATATAGCATTGCTCAGGACCTGGCTCAGTGATTAAATAGCCGACACCTGCTGAGTGATTTGGAGGAGCCAGGCCCTGAGTTCAACCACAACCTTCGAGGTAAGTACTGTTATTGCCCCCATATTACAGATGAGGACACTGAAGCACATAGAAATGAGGCAACTTGCCCAAGGACAAAACTAAAATTTGAATTCAAAGCAATCTGACTCCAGAGCCCACATTCTTAACACTATACTGTGCTGCCTCAGTCAATGTATGCCTTAATAAACTGTTGCCGAGCTCGGTCACGGTGGCTCAGTGGTTGAGCATCAACCTATGATCCAGGAGGTCTCAGGTTCACAGTTCCATCCCCAGTAGGGGGCATGCAGGAAGGAGGCAGCCAATCTATGATTCTCTCTCATGATCGATGTTTCATTCTCTCTATCCCTCTCCCTTCCTCTATCAGAAATCAATTAAAAAATAAAACATAAACTGTTGCTGAGTGAAAAAAATTAATGGATTGTAGATTTCTGAAAATGCAATTTCTGGGCCTCAGAATATACACATATTGCAATGTAAGTTCTTCATTATAATTTTAAGTTTTTTAAAAAGCAGTATAAAATTTTTAAATAATATTATCACAATATGGACACACAGGTGCGCAGAAGAAATATTGGAAAAAAAACCCACACCACATCAAAATGTTAGGAGTGGCCATTGTTGATGAATACATTCAGGGGCGGCTTTTTTTTTTTTAATCCATCTTTTTCCAAAATTTCTTTAATGAGCTATTATTCAGCACAGACTGACTAACCATAGCCTTATTTTTGTGTTATATGTGCTTTACTGCTTTATTGTTCCTTCTGCCCTTAGACGCAAACCTTTCTAAGAGAAGAGAATTTTCATGATTATATTGGGATTTTTGTGCTCTGTCAATCTTAAAAAGAAAATCAGAATCACACGTAATTTGATCTCTTAACATTATTAGAGTGACCCATTTGATCTAACTCCTGGCGCTAACAAGCAGTGTTGTGGCTTTCCTTTTCTGGTAGTTCCTGTCTGCAGACAAGAGAACTGTTGTACTCGTACATCCATTTGGAAAACACATTTTATTGACTCGGGGTTTTGCAAAGGCTTTATCACGCTGTTTCCCAAATAATCCTGTGAGGCTGTAATAAAGCCCTCGAAGCCTTGAATTCACATACACAAGCCTACATGAGTGCAAAGGGGCAGGATACTAATCCGACACACTAACCTATGTTTTTTGCCCAGTACTTCCTGATACTCCAGACCTTTCCCTGGTTTTTAGCAGCAGCAGGGGGGTTCTACACTTACGGCCTCAGAGAAAGGACAACGGAACAGAACAAAGCCATCGACTCTTGGCTTATGACCTGAAAGACTAGGCCTAGAGGAGACCAGGCCTAAAGGAAGAACAAAGCTGCACCACATCTTCCCCCACATCTTCCACAGGCTGTGAAGGAAGGACGGTGAACAAGAGACTTTAGATGTTAACTCAGGGGGTTCCTAGGTAATGTGGCTCTGTATCCCGCAAATCTCAGAGAGGTCTGGAGGGAAGAGTTCTGGAGGCCCACCAATCTGCCACTGTCAAACACCTTATATGAGAAAAACAGAACCCACTTCATTTGACCTGGTGGGAATCCCACCCCATTCCAATCACCAGGCCAGAATTATCAAGGTGAGCTAAAATATTCATGGAGAGCAAGTAGGCTCTAGTAAGGTGTGCTCTTCAGCAGGCAATCTTTCCCTTTGTTCCAAAATGAAGAATTTTTTTTTCCCTTGCCAGTTCCCTATGCTGCGCATTCCACCTTTCTGTCCTCCTCCCTTCCCCCAATGAATGTGACCTTCCTTATAGAATACTAGAGGCCCAGTACACAAAGTTCGTGCACTGGTAGGGTTCCTAGCGGCTGCCAGCTGTGGCTGGGGCCTCTCTCCCTTCCCCAGGCTGGCCAGCCCCCTGGTTTAACTCCCTGAAGAACTCCAGTGGGGGGGGACAATTTGCAATCTAAGCTTTTATTATATGGGATAATTACCACCCTGGCCAGTTTGGCTTAGTGGATAGAGCGTAGGCCTGCAGACCAAAGGGTCCTGCTTTGATTCTGGTCAAAGGGGGGGGGGGGCTCATGAGGGAGGGAACTAATTGATTTCTCTCTGTCTTGCCCTTTCTCTTCCATTCTCTAAAAATCAATGGAAAAATACCTTATGGTGAGGATTAAAAAAATAATATAATTACCCATGTTGTCTGTCGAACTGGATTTCTTTTGTTTTAAACATCAGCCAATTTTCACAACTTTGCAATATGGCAATAGAGAGGGTAAGCAACCATTTTTGTCAGCTTGACTTTTAAAGTGACCACTTCACCAATAGACTTCGCCAGGACTGGGTTTTGCCGGGTAGGCCAAGGTAACTGTGAAAAAATTAATGGCTGAACAACCTTTTCTTTCAAGGTGGAGTTTGAGTAGAGAACAATGTGCAGTAATTTAAAGCTGTGTTCACAAACACAATTCCACACAAGTATAAGGAACGCTGTGGGGTGCTTTTTTCCCCCTTTTGTAAAAAGAAAATGGTTGCTTAAACAAGTGGTTATCCGTTATGGTGTTGACATAGGAAAAGGTGAAATGCTGGCAACCGAATACAAGCAACTGTGCAACAGGCAGCTCAGTGCATGCCTGGGATGTTCCTTGGATGGACAGACTTGCTTTTCACTTCCTCCCAATTCTGGTCCCGCCCTCTTAGTATATCTTCCTGAGAATGTTTTTTAAAAAAAGGAAAAAAGAACATGTTGGTCTTACTGCAAGCCGTCTTAAGTGTCTGCTGTTCCCTTCTTTTCAACACCATGGGACTGGGTCTTCCTAACTTCTCCATTGTTTGGTGAGTCGCTTTGCTTTCCCGTTGCTGCCTGCCAGCCCTCCGCGGGGCCGAAAGCTTCCTAGCGGGGGTCAGTGGAGCAGCAGACACCCAGGGAGCACGGCTCCCGCCGGCCGCAAGCAGCTCGGG